ACATTTTTTCCTTTCATCATATGGCTCCTCTTCTTTGGGGACATCAATTAAGCTTTTTCAATTTTGCATCCTAATTTCGTTTTCCTTGCTTTATCTCAGTGCTCTGTTCTCCACATTTTAAGGTATTTTCCTTCACGTTCCTCTAGAATGGATTTCCTTTCAGAACTGGTTTTGTTCTTCTGGTTTTTTTCTTGAGTTTTACTTCATCTCTCAAAAACATTTTTTGTCTTCCTATACTTTTCCTAAACTCTGTTATCTCAGCCTTGAATTTTTGTTTTATAGAGGTCATAGCGTGTTTTTTAACAATTGATGAAAATATGTCTAGTAATAGTTTTGATCTGTTCCTTGGCTATGTAATCTTGGTGAGTGCACCTTCATGTGTCATTTTTTTTTAAGAAATCTACTTCCTCTCAGGTCTGGAACCTGGGAGTCTGAGATCAGAGAACCAGCATGGCCGTGTTCCAGCGAGGACTGTGCTCCAGTGAGATCTGTCTTCCTAGCTGTCAGAGGGCCACCTTCTCTCTGTACATGGAAGATGTGAAGGGAGGGTGAGGAAGAGACTGACAGCTCTGATGTCTTTTAGAAGGGCGCCGATGTCACCAAGAGGGCCCATCCTCATGACCTCATCTAAACCAAATGATCTCCTAAATGCTCCATCCCCAAAACCCATTGCACTGGGGATCAGAGCTTTAACACATAAATAAATCTGGGGGCAGCAGGAACTAACATTCAGTCCATAGCCCTTTCCTTCCTTCCTTTTGTGTTGTCTTTGTATACATACTGCACCTGTTTGTTTTTAGCTTTATAGGGAGTATCATGTGTCTCAGTGTGGTTTACAGGGTCCTGGCGGTTGGTCCCTGGGAACTTTTATAGGGGGCCGGCAAGGTCAAAACTATGTTGATAACAATGCCAAAATCTTCTTTGTTGTTTCATTGATTGGATTTTCATGCCAACAGTGCCAAAGCCATGGTGGCAGGGTCTGCCGGCGCCTGGGCGTGAATTAAGGCTGTGGCACCCAACATACCGGCACCATTGTCCTCGCCACAGGCCCCCACTCAGAGTTCAGAAAGATGTGTTCGTTTTCTGTAAGGTGTCCTTGGTAAAGCAGAAATCATTGTTGATTTCCCTTAAGTCTTGTCCCATGATTACATCTTTATAATATCCTGCAGGATAAAATGGGAATAACGCACAAAGCCTCTCTGCTGAACGTGAGTGTGATGGCTGCCGCAAAGAAAATGGGATCCTTGTTCACGGAGCAGCACCTTCACATAAAAGAGTAACTGATGGAGAAGCTATGGTTCTTGAGATGTGAGCATTTGGCAGATACGTTTTGGAAAACGAAGCAAATGAACCTGTCGCATCAAAGAAGACAAGTGACAATGTTTGTTGCCAATAAAAAAGAATCAAACTTTCAAGCAAAAAAAAAAGTAGAATTGTGGGAAACATTTATATAGCATTCTGAGCTTGGCATCTCCAGAAAGGAGTGATTTTTTTTATAAGTTCAGTAGTATATTCACAATGTAATTTCTCAATATTGCACAATAATATGGGAACGTTTAAAATATTCTGCGTTAGTCAGTGGACCACATTACCAATGGGTGATGTTACAAATGATGCATGGGTAAAAGGTGTATTCAAACTTCAAGTTCAGCTAGTGGATTTTAATGTAAGCGTAAGGGAAGGCCACTGCCATGGTTTCATATTCCACACTGCCACTATCCTTTAAGAAACTACAACTTTTCAGGTTTTGTCAGGTTAAAAAGGAATTTCAACAATTTTCAAAAAGGCTTATATTAAAGTATTGCTCCTTTTCCAACTACCTGTTGTGGAAGGGCAGACTTTTCATACGCTTCCATCGAAATAACATATCTCAACAGATTAAATGTAGAGGCAGATATTAGAATCCAAATTGTTTCTCTTAAGCCAGACACTCAAAGACTTGAAAAAATGTAAAACAATGTCACTCTTGTCACAAATTACTGTTTTGGTTTCAGTAATACAGTAATATTTCATTAAACACTTCTTACTAATGTTAGCATTTTATTGATTTATTATTATTTATTTAAAAGATTTATTTATTTATTTTTAGAGAGGGAAGGGAGGGAGAAAGAGAGAGAGAGAGAAACATCAATGTGGGGTTGCTGGGGGCCGTGGCCTGTAACCCAGGCATGTGCCCTGGCTGGGAATCGAACCTGTGACACTTTGGTTCACAGCCCGCGCTCAATCCACTGAGCTACGCCAGCCAGGGCTCTGATTTATTATTAATTTTAAATGAATGACTAATTTTGAAATCTCTTGGTTTTTATTGCTAACCTGGTCAATACTGATGGATAGAGCCCACAAGAACAGAAGCTATTTGGGATCCTGGATAACTTTTATAAGTCTGATGGAACATGAACTCTGGGCCCAAATGGTCCAAATTCTGACCACCCCTTCTAGTTACACAGCCCTGGGCAACTTCCCTCTCACCCTTGGTTATCTAACCTCTCTGTGCTCCAGTTTCATCATCTGTCACATGGGGAGAAGAGGAGCCCCTAATTTAGAGTTGTGAGAATTAACCATAAGTAACACGCTTAGCTGGAATATAACGTGAACTACGTGTTTCCATGAGCTTCGTAATGCTAATAATCCCGTCACTCTTACTGAGACTTGAGTGTAACTATCATCTCAAACAGTTATTCCATAAATTTTCATCAAGAAGGAGCAAGGGCCATGCCATAAGCTAGTGGGAATTCTTTTTTTTTTTAAAGATTTTATTTATTTATTTTTAGAGAGGGAAGGGAGGGAGAAAGAGAGAGAGAAACATCAATGTGGGGTTGCTGGGGGTCATGGCCTGCAACCCAGGCATGTACCCTGACTGGGAATCGAACCTGCGACATTTTGGTTCACAGCCCATGCTCAATCCACTGAGCTACGCCAGCCCAGGGCGCTAGTGAGAATTCTTAGGTTCAAGGTTTCCCCTGTGAGTTCCTAGAGTTTGCCCCTGCCCCGCTCACCGAGACCAGCTGCTGCAGGGTCCTTCCCCTGGCTTTCTTGGCGAAGGGCCCAGGGACTATCAGACTTCCTGGGCGATTCGGCATTCACACCCATGTCCCCTGCCTCGCAAAGCTGGGTGCCACCAGGGCTCGAGGAAGCTGCTGCTGCTGCTGGCACGTGTGACCATACCCGCTGGGCCCCAGAGGAGAGTGTGGATTCGCCTCTTGCTTTCAGGAACTGAGCTCCCTGGCTTTTCTGCCGTGAGGGCCGTGGTCCAGTCCCCTTACCGGCACCGAACCGGGCAGCGCTTCTCTCTGTGTTCTCTTAGCCGACCATTTTATCTAGTCTCAGCAACAGGACAGCTTTAAATTGCACCTTAATCCTCATTCGCTCCGTTTCTTTGCACATTGGGGACATTTTCAAGAAGACAATGTGAGACAAACAAATCTGTGATCCACATGGAAGACTAACCACCTGTCTTAATATTAGCAAATTCCGTGCTAACACAGCTCATTGGCATACATTTTTTCCCCTCACATCGTGAATATGTGTTTTGAGCCGTTGAAAAGAAAGAAACCACATAAGAGGAGTAATATAAATATTGTTGTTATTATTCAATGATGGGTGTGGCTTGATCCTATTCTCTCACCGAACTGAGGATAACGTGTAACCTGAGGTGGGTTCTGTCCCTGTCACCGCCCCGCCGGTCTGGTCATGTGTATCCTGTGGAAACAGAAAAGCAGAGCAAACATATTCTTCTAGAGAAGTCATTTTGGGGAATGTCTCCTAATCCTCCCTCGAAGGTTACCAGGTGTGAGTTCCTCTTATAGGGCTCCTTTTCTTCCCCAGAAGTCCCATCGCTCATCTGACCTCAGCCACCTCTCCCCCAGCAAGACAGGTATGAAGGACAGGAAAGAAATAAAGAAATGGCCCTGGCTGGTGTGGCTCAGTGGATTGAGTGCTGGCCTGCAAATCAAAGGGTTACCGGTTTGATTCCCAGGCAGGGCACATGCCTGGGTTGCAGGCCAGGTCCCCAGTAGGGGGCACACGAGAGGCAACCGCACATTGATGTTTCTCTCCCTGTCTTTCTCCTCCCCCTCTCTAAAAATAAATAAATAAAATCTCATAAAAAAGAAATAAAGAAAGGATTTGGAAACATTTAAAAGGGGAAAGAGAAATTGGATGGGTTTGAGAAGGGTACTGAATTGAAACAGTTTCACGGGATGCTGCACTTCTGCTTTTGTCTGGTGCCTCAGACTTAGCAAACATGATTTTAACTACCTGCTATTAAATGATTTTCCACCAAAGCAAAAAAAAAAATTAAAAAAAAAAAACGTAATGGATTCCAGATTCAATGCAGCTTCAAGAAACATGAGATATTTCAGAGCCCTGGAGGATAATGAAATGTTAGAAAAACTTCAAAGCAAACCTTGAAGAAGCAATGCTCAAATTCACATCATGAGCTCCCTTGGCTATTTTTCTAACTATGAGAGAGGTCAGCCTTACTTAAACATAGAAACAGGTGAAAAATGGATGGTTAACCTAGCCAAACACTTTTCGCTGCTACCCTTGGGGTTGCTTTCTCCTCCCCTCCTGCAAATCTAGAGCTAGAATTGTGATTAATGACTATTCTATGCTGGATGCCGTAGAATGGGTGCCGAGCTGAGCTTCAATGGTTTAATCACTATTTTCTTCACATGGCATTGGAGAGTCGGGGTGGCTGCAGGTCTGTGGGGGGGCAGACCAGCCAGGGCTGGAGGCTTCCGTGGACAGAGCTGTTCATGCTTCTTCCTCCCGACCAATGGTGGGAGCTCAGGAGAGGCTGTCAGCGACGACGAGTCAGGATTTGATTTTTTTTTTTCTGATAAAAGCTTTTTATTGTTTCCATTTGGCCCAATGCTTGGGAGAAGGCTCCACATTAGGTTAAAAAGATGCCTAATGGTTTCAGGGAGCAACTCAGGCAGAAGCCAGGTACCAGAGGAATGCAGAGGACACCCTCAAAGGCCTCTGGGCTCCAAAGGCTTCTAGTCTTCTTCGAGAGTGAGCCTTTCAAAGAGATACCCGCCCGGCCCAGCCTGGGCGTCAGCTGGCCTGCTGAGGCCTGCCAGGTGCTTGCCCGTCTTCTCCGGGAGTTTCACCTGCGCACCCAGGACGCGGTTCTCCAGGAAGTCACACAGCTGAGGGTATGTGCGGGCAGAAGCCGGAGCCCGCAGGTCCCTGCGTCGGGTTCTCCTCCAGGACTGTGGAGGCTTCCCTGGCACCCTGAGCGTTACCCCACTCATCTTGGACGGCGTCAGCTCATCCTGGAAGAGAATGAGACCCCCCCATGCTGGTTTTGCAGCTTTAAGAGATGCTCAGTGCCCTTGAGCTTTCTCGGGCAACTCACAGAGGAAGTGGCCCACACCTTCCAGAGGCACAGTGTCACAGCTGAAATAAAGCCCAGAGACAGGTAGGTGTAGGACGCCTGCAGATGCAGGGTGACCGGGTGGTTGACGGGGCCACCACCTTGGTGGAATAATTCTGATGAGTTTGAGAGCTCACGGTTGTTCGGCAATAGGAGTTAAGGATGTAGAACGGCGTTGGCTGGCCTCGTAGGCTGAGGACAGCTGAGGTGGTTCTGAAGGTGGTGACTGGGGAGAGGCTGGAGGGTGGTTGGAGGCTGGACGAAGGGGCGTCCCTGGGTCTGTTCTATCCAAACATTGTTGAAGCAAGAGCTAGGTCTGGGGCACTTCTGAGGGCACTGCTAGCTTGGATGTTTTAATTGGAGCAGATGTCAACTAGGCCCCAATATGAGACCGATGACCAACACTATTGCTACAGGTAATGAGATAAATAATAGTGTCAACACTTAGGAGAGCTGGAAAAGGAGACTTTCCTGCCAGAAAGAAACGGTTTGATCGGGAGAGTTAGATGTTGACAGCAACTGGCTGGATCGTTTCTCTGTCAGGGCTCTCCAGACCTGGGCCATTTTTTGCTCCTACTTTGAAGTTGCCTGCCACATTCCTTCTCTGAAAAAAAAAAATACTGAAAGCTTCTGAATTTCCAAAAAGTGGTGGTAGGCAATCCAACCTGCAACTGTTTCAGGGACCTGGTCGCTGCGTGTACTGGAATGCTGCGTTGCCATGCAAAGGTGACTATGGAAAACCAAACAGAGCAGAACCTTCACAGGCAGGCGTGAAGGAACAGCGCGCTGGTCGCTGATATTCGGTGGAGAAATGAGCTGAGTTACGGGAACTTCAGGGAGAGCTAGATGGTCTCTACCGTGTCCTCCCAAGGCCCGTGGCCAGGAAAAAATGACGGTTTCCTTAGCTTATGTGACTATGGGTCTTGGGACCTCATACACTTGATACAGTAAGTATCGTTTATCTTACCGAAATCCCAGCTCCCCCACGCATTAACTAGAGCACAGGTGACCAACACCAGGCCCGTGGGCCCAATCTGGCCCTCCGCCTTGTTTTATCTGGCCAGGCGCCTTGTTTCTACCCAGTGTCAGCACCAAGCTCTCACCGAACTATTAAGGAGTAGTTACATTTATCCAGTCCTAAAATGACTTTCGGCCCTTTGAAGGCAACCGAAATGCATGGGTTTGACACCCCTGAACTAGGTGTGAGGTATATGAGAGCTCTCTACCATCTTCACAGATTTCTGCTTCAAGCATAAAACTATTCTACAATAAAACACTTATTTACAAATGGGATGCCCATTGTTCAAAAAGCAGGGCAGGATTGGGGGAGTGGATGGATACAAACCTGTCTCAGGGAGCCAGGCAGGCACAGAGGGTAGAAAATGAACCCAGCATGGGCCAAGACTCCAGAGAGAAGGTAGCAAAAACTAAAGGGACCATTTTCACCATTTGAATTAATGTAGTTTATCCACGGACAACTGGGAGTTGAGCACTGTCCAATAGTGAGTGTGCAAGAAAGAGTCCCATGATGGACAGGTGAGGAGAGCCCCGCCCCATCCTCCTCTGGCTCCATGAGCGATGGGACACTGACCGATAGGTCTGGCCACAGGAGAATGGGCTGTTAGGTCATTGATGTCTGGCCCTGTAATTCCAGGTGGTAATGGAAGTACCAAAATTACCTCCTGAAAGGTGGCACCAAAGAACTGGGAGTAAAATGCTGTGAGTAAGGGGAGCGTCTGAACACTTTTCTGAAGTCTCTGGTTACGTGTGGTTATTTGATGGATTGCGTGAGCCCCAGCCCACCTCACGTATGTGCGTGCTCTGTTGTTGAGTCCTGAGCCTGTTTGCGTGGCCTTCAACAAGGACTGGCAAATGCATCTAGGAAAGAAGATAAAAACTCATTTTCAAATCTTTTCATTCCTTGGAGGAACACTATCATTTCTCATTATTATCAATTCTTTCATCTGAGGATCATGGAGCATGACCTCAAATGTTTTCCAGATGCCTAATGGAATGCGTGTTGGAGGAAAATAACTGTGTTTCGTTTGGTGCACAGTTGAACTCTGTTACTTACATGGCAGAAGAAAACAAACCAATGGGCTCGGAGGCCATCTTTTCTACTCCCCATCACTCAGTATTAAAAATAGGACTAGAAAATATGTAGTAACATATAATACAAGTAATAATATTGTCCAGGTTAAAAAAAAAACCTTCCTTTATTTAAATAACTCTCTCTTTGGTTATTTTTGGGGTACGAGTCACCTAGAGTCCTGGACTCCTTTTGAAGTTCTTCAGCCGATTAGCTTATTTATCATCCAATAATAAAATTTTCTTTTTGTCCCTATCCTACCCACATACTTTAGTATTACTTAGTGGCATTACTCAGCTAGGGTACCTAATGCACTCTGCTTTCGATAGTATTACAGTTGTTTCTACTGCTTACTTCTAGAATGGGTCAAGTCACCTAGCAGACCTGGTGAGTGTAACAGGCCTTGGGGATTTTCCTTCCCACCTACAACACGGCGCCCTGTCTGCATGGGATCCCGCCCGTCTCCGCAAATACAAATTATCTCACTTCCTGCCGTGCGGCCGGCCGACGAGGGGTCATAAAATTCAGAGGAAAACCTTTCCTCAGTTCAAACTGAGATCATTAATTTCTTGCCTCTTTGAGACTTGGCAGTCAGGGTGTAAGGCAATAACTTAAAAAGGAGAAACCCCAACCTTACATAAAGTTGACTTTCTATATTTCCATGATATGACACGATATTCCCTCAGCTATAAAACATCTTGACTCATCTGGCTCCTTATTTACATGGTAATTCCATTATTTAATTTGATGGGTTGTCTGAAGGATAATTTATAGAGTTGTTGAAAATATATTGACTTCAGGTCCTGAAGCCACCATATTTTTCATGCTTCAAGTGTTAAAGAAAATGAAAATAATACATATGAAAATAGTTCTGGCCAACACATGTGAGTGTTTTCCTCCCTGGTTTCTCCTCAAACGTCCCTGCCCAGGCATTGTCAACTCATTTCTGACTCCTACGGGCCACTCTCCAGTGGTTCCGTTACAAAGAACCCTTTAAAACAGAGCTTCAGTGTCCCAGGTTCGATTCCCAGCTAGGGTACATTCCTGGGTTGCAGGCCATAACCCCCAGCAACCGCACATTGATGTTTCTCTCTCTCTCTCTCTCTCTCTCTCTCTCTCTCTCTCTCCCTCCCTCCCTTCCCTCCCTAAAAATAAATAAATAAAATCTTTAAAAAAAAAAAACAGAGCTTCCACTTTAAGAGCAGAAAAGATTATAGAAATGAGGCAAGTGGGAGGATATGATGAGAAATTTTTTAACCCTGGACTTGGCTTTTATTAGATTCCAGGTAGGTTACTAGTGGCTTTAACCTACGCAGCTATTTGATGGTAATAGGAGAACTGCAGCACGGATAGCTCGAATAACGCTCACATTAATACGTCATTCCTAAAGCTTCCCTGAGAACCATCTCCTAGGACAATGAGCTTTACAATTTGGGCATAGACATGACTATTATTCTTTAGTAGAATCCTAGCTGCTTGAAAAGAATATTTATATATTTTTATTTTCAATATTATCATTGCTCATTTTCAGGGAAAGAAACCCTGAGGACTGGGCCCCACCGAGCCTGTCTGGAATATCCACAGCTATTTGCATCACCCTTGCAAAGCAACAACTACAATAATGCCAAAGCAACAGCAATACAAATGAAAGTCGCCACCGTTGAGTACCCACTTGGCCGTAGGCTCTGAGATACATGCAGGATTATTTCTTTTTCATTCCATGACGTAATCAGTGGAGTAAATGTCACATAATTTGAGTGCGTGGCTAATGACACAAGGCTAGATGATGGCCGTGTGAGTCTTTTAGCCACGTGGCTCTGGTGCACTGGTCCACCCTCCTCTCCATCATGATTCCTTTCCCTCCGCAGAGTGTCCAGATATCGATAGAGAAGACATTTCTAACCAATTGGCAGGCTTCCCAGACACTATTAACACCAGCATAGCAACAATAGGGTGTCACACACACACACACACACACACACACATACACTCACACACACACATACACACATTACCAACCTCAAGAAACCCCCATGGGTCATCAAGGCTTGAGCAAAATGGAAGTTTATTTCTCTCTCTACAAAAACATTAAAAACCTATCTCTTCCACGTAAATTAAAAGAAATAAAATGAAGAAATAGCATTCTTCAACTCAAAACAGAGAAAAAGTTGTGAGATTCTGGATAAAAGCACCTAGAAAGCTTAGTAAAAGGTTTTTGTGTACTTGGGAAAAAACTTATTTCCCAATTCCTCTGGGAACAGAACAAAAAAATAAATAAATAAACAACTTGGCTTAGAATATAGCATGAAGATAATTAAAATGAAAAATTAGCTGTGAATTACGACTGAGGGTGGGATATTGATGATGTGTATGGAGTCATTAAATCTCTTAGTCTAAAAAAAAAATAGAGAGCGCACTGTCTCCCGGAAATGCCTCTCTAACGCGGGGGGAGCAGTGCGCCACGGCGGTAATGCGACCAGCCTGGTCGCTGTCGCGGCTCTACCACAGTTTCAAGCTGTGTGAGCTTGAGTAGGTTACTTAACCTTTCTGAGACCTCATTTTTCTCATTTCTACAGACGGATGGATTATCCATAATAGAAGTGTGTATCATGCCTTTAACACAGTGTTTGCATCCCGGCTACTACTGCATCTCAGCTACTACTGTGGCTTTTGTATTTAGATGTAGTCCGGACTGAAAGTGGAGCTGTGGACTCCATTGGGTCTCCATTTCCCGTCAGGCAAAGAGACATGTAATGAATGTCTGTTATGTTTTGACTACCCAGAATTTGAGTGGCTTTCATATTTGGCAGGGATCACAAAGTTGGGACAAGCCACAGGGAGGCAGATATTTCTTCTCGCCAACTTCTTAGCATTAAAGTGGAGACGCGCCCCTGGTTGGCTGATGAAATGCGCCAGCTGGGGTTGTGGACATGCGTGAGCGAAGTGGTGAATGAGAGCGGAGGTCGCCGGGGGTCGTCTTCTGGGGCTGTGCTAGGAATAACGGTACAGCGTGTGCCTGGGGATTACGGGACATGGTGGGACAGTAGCCAGTCTCCAGTGATAATGGCATCGGTAGTAGCATCCTGCATAGCCTCTGTAGTGGAGACTCGGCCATTCCCAGCTCCCTTTGGCTCTTGTCTGTATTCCCAAGCTCAATTTTCTTGTCATTATAATGACTCTAGGATGGGTCCCTCAGCTATATCCACAATAATTCTTCATGACAATTCTCTGCCCCTACCTGCCCCAAAATAAACCCTCTCAATGGTATTTAACATAAACATTTGTTTCAAATGCCTATGCATGCAGGTCGATAGGGGATTGGCTCCTCTAGGCTGGACTCAAAGGGGCATGGATCCAAGCTGAGTTTATATCCAAGTCTGCTCCACATTTTCCTCATCTCCACTGAACAGGCAACTCTTAGAGGTATTTGCATGTGATGGTGAAAGGCAAGAATGTGCAGCAGCAGGCCCAACTGAGCAAGCACATTGCAAACGTCTGCTAACATGCCATTGGCTGAAACAAGTCACATGGTTAAGTCCCGTATCAATAAGGCAGGAAAATATACCCTGCCTGTTGTGGACAGAACAGCAAAGTCCCAGGAAGTGGATCCTGCAAAGTCTAAGGCTACGTA